TATATATATATATGTATATATATATATGTTCCAGCATTAAACCAGTTACACAGAAGCACATTAAATGCAGTGTATTTCATGGTAGGATTGTACTGGCATATTGCTCACTACCTGTATGTTGCACTGTCCTGACTTCTGTGCACAATGTCTTGTCTTATTTGCCCTATTTCTATACTGAACCATTTCGTCTCTGTACAGTATATTGCCATATGCTGAGAGAACAATAAAGTTCATTTTGGCTTTGGAAGAGCCTGAGCAGTGTTAGGATACAGTCTCATGGGTGAATCACACTTATACACAAAGACATTGACAATGTATAGACATTGCAAACAGATGCATGAGATATGAGCACCTGTCCTGGAAAACGGAGGCATTGGGAACATGTTAATTTATATTAATCCATATTAGTTTGTGAATGCCACAAAACCATTTAGATTCTATTGGTATCAGACTGTGGTATCTAGAAAGTTGTCTCCTGGTACCAGTGGGGGAACAAGCTGCATTTATATGTATATGCAGTGCTCTGTCATTAATTAATTAATTTGTTTGTTCATCGTTCACTTCCTTGGCGATCTCAGCTAATTGCATCACACACTGCCGCCAATCAACCATTAAGAAATTAGGAAGATGATAGGTCTCGTCATAGGGGAAATTGCCACTAAATGCTACGATGACAGCTATAAAAGCCCCAAGGTTGCTGGCTTAAGTCTTCATCCTAAAGCTTGACAGCGCTTCAATACTGTCGCGTCCCCAGAAGGACTACCCATTCCAGGTAGAGTTTCATATTAATATTTGCTTTCCGGTTTCTTATTCTCATTACATATTTGGAGAAAGATAATATCATGTATAATTGCATCGTATTATTGTGTTAAGATATAAGGTATAAACTATATTGAGCCTAGTGTCCACTTGCGTTCCCATTTGGCACCCACGAGACGCAAGTCAATCTGGGTTTATCCCCATATTTAAAGGGGAGAGACAAGACACTAAGTCAGCACTGTAGTATACACAAAGCACTCGACCGCAAATAATAATGTAACTAAATTCACAGCACGTTATATTAAAGAGCGCTACACCCACAAACGTCCTACAACGTCCGCTTTCAGGCGTCTCTCGAGTAATATATATTATTCACTATGTATGGACCTCGGACGTAAATGAGATCGAACGTGACTGGATCAGACAAAACTCGACCTGCATATCACTGAGATAATTTGATTTAATTATTACTGTTTAGTGAAGATAGCATTATTATGAAATACATTTGATTTAATATTTAAAAATAAACTGGCACGTTTAATTGAAATGTGTATTTATTCACTTAATTTATTTAATCATTTATATATTCATTCATCTACATAAATACTTTTCTTTCATTTTGAACAATATGGTGTACTATCTATATCTATATATAATATAGCAAAACTGAGTCCTAATGGAATTTTCTTTTTATTAAGATTAATCAAATTAGCGGTATATATAGGCTAAGTGATGATGTGGTATCTGTTAACCGCGAGGTTCCTAAAGTGGGTGTGGTGTAAGTAACCTGTTTGCCATTTGACTCGATGATGTCACGAGGGGTGGGGGTTGTATGCGTTATTGGTGTGACCGGGATGTTAGGGTTTTTTTGCATACGTCGTCTGAGATGCTCAGTAAAGATATTTAACTAAGCGAAAGCAGTGTTTGTGTGGACCCACTACACGACAGTGGGGATCGCTAGAGACCGGTGGGCGGTCGCGAATTGCTTTTCATAATGGTTATAAAACTTAGAAACCATGAAGAAATTTTCCATTCTAACTGTAACCACGACCGGTCGTTTGCGATTAATTGACCGAGGGAGGCGCACCCCGATCGGCACCGGGGATATATTATTATACATTACTAGGGGGCCAAGCGAAAATACCTGAAAGATCCCTGTTTTCCATATATTTTTGTAGGGAACCATCCAATGGCGGAATCCAATTAGACAGCCGAAGGGTTGGAATGCCTGTAGGTCCATCCGAGCGCTCCTGCAAATGTACTTATCCTTTTAGGTAAAACCAAATTATGAGTCCAGTTTGATTAAAGACCTTTTATAATGTTTTAGTCATAACATTTGTTATTCAGATTACACATGGGCTTTTCTTTGTATTGCTGATGCAATAGGCTTCACTAGTGCTCAACCTAGAAGATGTGAATTTGGTAAAGGTACAGTTAGTTACCTTGGGAAACAAGTTGGTCACGGTAAGCTAAAGCCCCTGGATATAAAGGTCCAAGCTATCGGGTCAGTCCCAGTTCCGCAGACCCCGCGGGAGTTAAAACGTTTCCTGGGAATGGCTGGTTATTATCGTTGTTTCTGTCGGAACTTCTCAGATGCGGTCGCAGCCCTTACGCAGTTGCTTCGCAAAAAATGTAAAGTTCGTTTGGTCCCCCGCGTGCCAGGTCGCCTTTGATGCTGTAAAGCTATTGCTTAGCAGTTCCCCAGTGCTGGCTGCCCCAGACCTCACCAAGCCCTTCAAGCTGGAGGTGGACGCTAGTGGTGTGGGTGTCGGTGCAGTCCCCCTACAGGAGGATCGCCACGGACTCGATCACCCCGTATGCTACTTCTCGAAGAAGTTCTTGAAACACCAGCTAGTTTATAGTGCCATCGAGAAAGAGGCACTAGCCCTCTTATTGGCCCTACAACACGAAGTGTATCTCGGAGATAGTACACACCACCACGGGTTGAGCACTGACCATAATCCTCTAGTATTTTTAGAACGCATGTGCAATGCTAACCAGCGCCTCATGCGCTGGGCACTGATTGTCCTTGGCTCCGCCTCCTCCACCAGACCCCGCCCACGACGACTCCGATGCGCCCCTCGTCATTTCCTGTTCCTGAAAAGAAAAGCCCTTCTTCCTTCGGTACCGTTGCTTGTGTTTTTTGTGTGTTTGCTGAGTGTTCGTACTAGGTTTGTGTAAGGAGTGACTGCCTTTTTGTTTTGCGAGTCGTGACGATTTATTGTTTGGTTAGGGAGCTAGGTGGTAGTATTTTTGTTTTGCTTATACTTTGTTTATCTCACGCAGGATTAGTTTAGATCGGGTTCGTTCGGTAGGGGTGTTTTGTTTGTTTTGGCCTTGTCACTCCCGAAGTCTGTTACACCTGGTGTTTGTGGAAAAATAAAAAAACATAAAAAAAGATCCCTATTGTTTCCCGTGTTCCCTTTCCCTTACTCCCCGCTTGTCTCATCCTCCCTCCCTCCCTTTCCCTCACCTTTACCTCACCTTTACCTTTCTGGCAATCCCCAACCCTAGACTGGGAATCGTAACGCTGATCTCCCACTAATCCCGGACGGTGGAGTACACCGGATTCGTCTCAGCCAATAGGGCGATCCACGGATCTGCTACGTAGGACTAGGTTCAGAAGTTGGGAAATCACTAAAACGCAATACAATGTCAGCCTAGACGACCGTTCGGGCCGGGGACTCATATAACTCCTGGGAGGCTGGAGCCGAACTTCGCCGTAACTCGGCGTGTGCGCGCCTCCGAGGCTGAGCCGAACTTCGCCGTAACTCCGCTTGGGCAGCCACATCGGGTCCCGGAGAATCGGGGTCGAGTCAGAGGCGGCAAGAGTGTTGCATGTAATGAAGCGAATATACCCGAGTCAAATGGCCGTTTTGACTCTGACTGGGGAAATAAACCCAGTCTACGGGAAGCATGCAGAGGTCAGCAAAGTCAGACAGCCAAGAAGTAATCGAAATCCAGTTTATTCACAATTAATACAAGACACATCAATTTAATCAAATATAACAATGTAATTCTAATGTGGCCACAAATTCCTAAACTATACCATCAAAAACAATTCCATACCTCAGCTGAGTGGACACAGAGTAACTGCAGAAAACATATGGGAGCTCTGATTAGAGTGTCTCCCTTTGCTATTCTGGAACTCTTCCGTGTTCCAAACCAAGTGACAATGTCTTTGACTAAATTTCCTGACCAAATATTGCGATTGATTATTTTAGGTACTGTTTTGATTTTGTGTGTGTGTGTGTCCTGGAGAACTGCTGATCGTATCAATTCTCAGACCCTAAGCTAATTGAATCACTTTAGAAGGAATGTAGGGATTCCTTTGTTCCACCAGGTGATAAGATTCTCCACTTTGGTGGGTTTATTCTTACTTTCCATATTTCTCTTATGTGAGAACATACTGCTTTAAGTTTGAGAGTATTGTACTCGTCGTACTGTGACAATTCAAACGAGACCAAACATGGGTGTATGTGTCCCTAATGTTAGTCTGGGGTAATACCTCCTGTGTCAGTGTGAGTTAGCGAGAGTAGGATGCATCTGTGTCTTGACGCAGCCAGGCCTTGTCACTGGAATTTGGCTGCAGGATTCTGGCCACGCAGTGGGGGTGAGGTGTCCCTTTTGATGTGGTGATCTGGTGATTTGGGTCCGGTGGACCTTTGCCTTAGGACACTGGGTGACACATTGCAGGCTTGTCAGAGGTCAGACTGGCGGGGCCTGCAAGGCCTGTGGCCTCACATTTTCATCGTGTAACGGTAATGTTTAGCAATTACGTAGCACTGTGCTGTACCGTTTATGCTATAATGCTACACCTGTTGTCATTTTTATTACAACAAATCTGGTTTGAGCGCACAAAAATGAATGTTTTAAATCAATTTATTTTATCCATCATTCGCGGCACAACCATAAACAAAACAATAGAACAGTAGCCTACTATAAACTACGAAACAGAACAATTAAAACGCTGGTAATTTTAGTGTTATCTTAACCATTTACAACGTGATCTTCTGCAATCTCTGCCACTGGTAAGGTCCTACTCAGTTTGATCCACTTTCGAGATGTTGGGTGTGTCTCATTATGCATACCTCACTGTGGTCAGCTCCCTAACAAAACATCGGTGTGGACAGGCTTATCTTACAACCCAGATAATACCATGGTGCTGTCTCAAGGCTGAATTATGGTCAGCGTTAAATTATCAACATTGAAACTGAATTGATTTTTGGTCAGACTTTCAATATGGAAAAACTGATGGTGGACCTTGATTCATGGTTGATATAAAGTGAAACACTGAAGATGAACGTTGTTTCAACCTTTTTGTCTGATATGGAATCAATGTCATTTCAACATACGTGTGCTATCTGGGAAAGGTTTGACAACAGAGGAGTTTCTAACCATCAGAAAGATCAGGGACTAAGTCAGGTTTATCTGGTGCTTTTTTTTTGAAGGCAGATTGACATCGGGGCTAAAATACTCAGGGCTAGTGTCAGGGTCAGTGCCCTCTCCCTCCCTCTTGCAGACCTCAGCCCTTGTGTGGCAAACATGTTGAGCAAGAGGTTTAGACGCTATACTTTCTGGTTGTGGGTTGGAAGCTGCCTTGAAGCCAGTCTCACCTGTCTCTACTCTCGCTAACACACTGACACAGGAGGTATTACCCCAGACTAACACTTGGGACACATACACCCATGTTTGGTCTCGTTTGAATGGTCACAGTATGACAAGTACAATACTCTCAACCTTTAAAGCAGTATGTTCTCACATAAGAGAAATATGGAAAATAAGACTAAACCCACCAAAGTGGAGGATCTTATCACCTGGTGGAACAAAGGAATCCCCACATTCCTCCTAAAGTGATTCAATTAGCTTAGGGTCTGAGAATTGATACAATCAGCAGTTCTCCAGGACACACACACACACACACACACACACACACACAATCAAAACAGTACCTAAAATAATCAATCACAATATCTGGTCAGGACATAGTCTTCAAAGACATTCTGTCACTTGGTTTGGAATACTTAAGGAAGAGCTCCAGAGTAGCAAGGGGAGACCAGATCAGAGCTCCCACATAGTGCTGCGTGAGTCTCCATCTGTAATCAGATATTTTCTGCAGTTACTCTGTGCCCACTCAGCTGAGGTATGTAATTGTTTAATTGTTGTATTGTTTTTGACCTTTTGCTATAGTTTATCTGCTGCCCGTTTCTCCGGGACCTGATGTGACTGCCCAACCTGAGTTACAGTGAATAGCAGCATATAGTGCGTTCCATTTACCGTCGGAACTCGGTTTCCGAGGACCGAAGCCGGAAGTGACGACATGCGCGCTCCCGTTTCTAGGACATCGACCAAATATCTGAGCAGCACAGAGGATCCCGAGGGTCACTACCGAAAATGTTACGTATGCGTCCACGAAACCACTATGCGAGCAAATATTTATCTGCAAAGCGCTAGGCAAATTAGTGCCAAAATAATTTATATGCGCAAGTGTGAATTTGCTCTCGC